TATAGGTCATTTGGCGACGTTACAGCTTTACTGGTGGAGGAAGACCTTAAAATTATTTTGATTCAGCAACAGTGTAAACCTTAAGTAAATGCTGAAACTGTATGCGATGTTCATTCCTAAGAATAATGCTTACTGTCATAGTATAACCTTCAAAGCTATTGATGTAGTCTTAGTCAAACAGTTATGAATATTGTTATGCCTAAATTGTATACAGTAGGCACTGAAACGGGTAGCCTTAGAATATGGCACATCAATTTAACTTATTTCTATTCATATTTTCACAACTGTAAAGGAATACTGTATTAGTTTTATGGTCATGCAAATAAAAAATACATGTATATACATGTACAGTTTATACAGTCGGCATGTTTGTATGTTTTAGTTTACTGTTGACAAGTAAAGATTGTAGTAGGAATACCTGATAAAAGATCAATTTTGAGTACTGAAAATGTACATGTGTTAAATCTATTTGTGAAATGATTTGCATCTCGTTGAGATCAATGAACTTTTTAATATAATATATACAAAACAAAGTTAGAGCTCACTGCGGTATACCGTACCCCGGATATTGCTCGATATTATGAGGACTTTCATCCCATTTCGCGACTTTGAACGGGGAACGAAGGTAAGTTCAGCGACGATACTTTCCAAACTAATGGCTATTTCATTTATCTAAACGGGTTTTATATATCTAGAGGTATTTTTGTAGCTCTAAAAGACGTAAAGGTATTACAGGTATTTGTAAAATTGATTAAACTACCCCTAAACGATCCGCTGCTCACTAGAAAATACTGACCGCGATACTGTAGAATCGTTAGAAATTATTATATTACCAATATAAAAAAAAAATTGAATCGAGCAATTTTTTTATTCACAATCCTAGTATGCCTTGTCCAAATTTCAGGCAAAAAATGTGAAAGTACAAAAAGATACAGGCCAAAAAAGATACAAGACAGTGTACCGAGTATTGATTTTAAGTGTACTGAGTATTGCAAAATAGCCCAACTTTAGTGTACAGAGTATTGCAAAACAGAATAAGCACATTAGTATGGAAACTCGATATTTTTGTCTAATTTTCACGTCTGTTTATCGATTCAATTTCATTTTTCTGATAATGTACTGTTTATATGATATTTATTCAAATATTTCAGATTCAACAGTGCATTTTCAGTGTTATTACTGTTCTTTTCCTACGGGCAAATACAGAGATTTAATTTCCAATTTGGTTGAAAATCACACTATGGATGAAATTAAGTGTGTGCAGGGTCGGAAGCAGGGTAGAACCATCAAAATTGACGATAAAAAACTTTAAATACATGTCTCAAGACACTTTGATCAAGGAGACCCATCTCTGAAATGGACAAGAATAAAAAAAAATTATTTAGATGACATTGATAATAGGTTTTTACAGGGCAAGTTTGCCTTAAGAAAACATATCGACGCACTTAATAAAATATTGGCCTGAGGTCTTATGCCGTCCAAGCATGCCGGCATCGTCTTAACCTTTTACTGCATGAGCATAATGCGAAAAATGGCTGTTTTCATTGAATTATAATTAAGCCTCTTGTTACAAGTTCAAACTGCTATGAAACTATAAAAAATGCTTCAATACTGATCAAACAGGGCACACATGTTAGCTGGACCATAGCCTGTGGAATAGCATGCTCATTTTTAAAATTTCCAATTATCATGGCAACGGGGTGGGGGGGGGGGCGTCTCAAAATTGCCAAAAACCTCTATTTTGCGTTGTTTTTTCCCATCAAAACTGATTTCAAGGTGCACCAACTTCTCAATTGATTGAGATAAAGTCTTAGGTTTTATTACACGGTACCTTTAAATCGACCTGAGGCCATTTAGGCCCCCTAAAAGTACCAAGTCTTCTCGGCGATTAGAGGGGCTACTGCCCCACTTCAAACCCCCAAACAGAAGGGGGCACATCCCCCCCCCCTGCGTAACCCCCTTGATGTACCTTTTTAATGGGGGTGGCGCCGAAAAAAGTGATCACTTTTTTGAACAACATTTCTCAAACGAAAAAAACGGTTTGGGGCCTAAATAGCGCATGTTGTACACTTTGTACAAAGGGGTGGGGTGTAAAGCCTTCAAAACACGCCTTTATGAGGTAAAAGGTTATAATGAACATAACCTTTTTATTGCATCTGCAGCCCTTTATCATAATCTTATCAAAATCTATTATTCGGTTTTTTGAGCTGTACCCGCTCGGGCAGTCATACGGTAACTCATTGCTAATGGCGTAACAAATTTCACGTGCAGACGGTCTGCCGTTGCTAGAGTGCAGGTACAAAATGCCCGAAAGTTACCTTTATATGGATTTTTGGCATAGAAGGAAGTAGGTTGATATAAGATATTGGCACACTTGCTCAATACCGTCTAATATTGACAATATTGAGGCAGTATTAATGCACTTTGGATGCATTTTTTTTACTTTTTTAAGTAAGATATGCAATAATTATTAACAAATTCTGGAAAGGTTGATTCCTTCGATAGCAACGAGAACATTTTAAACACAGAAAATTGCTGAGTTCGTTTCGGCTGAGATTTTTCACGAGCAGGAATGTAAATCTGGGTTATTCGCAGATGTTTCCAGTAAAGTACCTCCGAATTCTGCATATTCTGCACATATAGTGTAAATAAGTATACACATTAAGAAATATTTAAAATTAAATGTGGTAAATACTTTGTGTTTACTACTTGCATTTACTCTTCATTGATAACCAATACTCGTTACACTAAAAGCAATACTCGTGACACCGGCGGGCAACTCCAACGCAATACTCGGTACACTGACATGTGTATTTATTCTCAAAATGCACTGTCATCTGAGGTCTATTGTTGATTGAACATTTACAACATAAACATTATCACCATTATCACATTTCACTCGATTCAAGTTTTTCTTTTAAGGAAGTATATGCACAAAAACATCAAATTTGACTGATCCGAGCTCATTTATCACGTGAGCAAAGAGACGAATTTTTTCTCCTAATTATATTTCAAAGCTATTTCTCAACATTTTTGGGGTTTCAGTAACTAGAGAAATTATCGTAGTATTTGTGTTTCTACAAAATTTATATCAAGCCAATTCAAAATGACTAAATATCGTCACTAAACATACCTTCTTTCCTCGTTCAAAGTCGCGAAATGGGATGAAAGTCCTCATAATATCGAGCAATATCCGGGGTACGGTATACCGCAGTGGAGCTAATATGTAAAAGATATAGGTCACTTACATATGTCAATCTATCTACTGCTGTGATCTACCAATATAAGACTAGGGCCGTGTCCTGTACTGTCCTGTCCTGTCTGTCCTGTGCTGTCCTGTTTGTCCTGTCCTATACTGTCTATAATGTACTGTAGGGCCTACCGTAGATATTATCACAGGAACTTGAAATTCTATCAATATTAATGATAATATCAAAAATATACCCCCTATACAGTATAAATTATACTCTATAGGCCTATAGGGGGTATATTTTGGATATTATCGTTAATATTGATAGAATTTCAAGTTCCTGTGGATATTATATATCAGAGAAATAAATACGTCCACTTAATTTAATTCAAATATATTTTAAGTTGTTTATTATATTTAAGATTTAACTTTATATTAAAACTGAAAATTTCTAGATCTACAAAAACGCATAACTAATTTGACAATAAACAAGGCCTAACGTTCCAACTCTCATTCCGTTTCAATGTCCTAATTTTCAATATAAAATATAAAATCCTTGCTAAATTTATATAAACCCTGACAAATCCATTGGTTACAGTTAATAATTCATGACATCGTAAAATATCAAAATTTACAAAATAAATGTTCAGTAAATCACAAAATCTATCATTTTTAATTACTGACCCAAACTCTACTCTTCAATACAAATGGAATTGTTGATAAAAGGGGAGTAACTCTTGATGAGTTATACGCGCTACAATCAGAGACAATTGGTACAGTTTATCAATGGAAACTTTTTGGCCCTTTCCGCCAGTCTTCGCAGCAACAGCAGGTGTCAAGTGCCGTGTGGCAGCTGTAAAAAGTTGCCCCCGTACCTTCATTGTAGTATATTTTTCTGGTACTTCGGGATCATTGATGCCAGCACTATTATGTGTTGAGAATTGAGTACCGCTCAAGCTGGTGCTATTGGGCATGAGGGATGTTGCACTTATTCAGTATCCCTCATGTACAGACTCAATCAAACCGAGTCTGCAATTTTCATGTAATTTTGTTGTGATTATTGCTTCCGAGGGGTCACTTTATTTCCAGATTTTTCGGATAAGGACCTCGAACACAATAGTATGAATACAAAGAACGGATGCGGTATATTCGGTTTAATTATAAGTTTTAACTCACATGGTATGAAGTTTAATTATGACTGCCTGACCTTGCTCTGTGCTGGGTAGTATGAAATACTAAAATTGTATGAAAAGCATAATAAAACACAGTAAGTTTTTGCATTACTAGCAATGATAACAAACTGCAAGCTTCGGCCACACATCGATGACTGTGGATTTAGGGTCTTGTCTAGAAATGCTACTTAGTATATAGTTTGTCTTCGGTTGAAATGCACAATTAACACTTTTCTAAACTAAAAGTAAGGTTAATCTGAAAAAAAAATTAAAACTGTGATGAAAGCATCTAACATTCTCTAAAACCATTATTTAAACATTTCACGTTTGCCCTTTCTGAAGAAGTAAAATATTATTTGTTTCTGAGCTAGTATGTGCCTTTTATGTTCTACAATTAATGTAATTATATATCATTTAATTAATTCAATTAATGTTAATACATTAAATGATTTATGACAACAAACACATTGAAATCGATACATTTGTGTGTTACTGAACTTACTTCAACTGTATGTGAACTGTTAGGTTACTGCACGGTTCCACTTTGTTAATCCCATGATTTAAAGCCTAGCGTTAATCCGTCTTTAATCCAAATAATTTGTACATGTTTGAAACTTTAATAAGAGACGGTTTGTATTTTAAATTTGTACCTTTACTAGTTATCATATTTATAAACGTGTGGCTATTATAAACGTTTTATTTAGATTTATTTAATACAAAACAGGACTTATCTTCTGACACCGTAAGTTCATAATTTTACAAAATCACCCGTTATTTATTTCAGTTTTCTTTTAAATACGCAGAATGATACGTATTATTTATATAGCTGTTAAATCTGAAACAAAGAATGTTTATGGACAGGGTATATCCAATCATCGCGGCCTATTTGACGTTGTCCCTGTTGAAAATCGCAGTGTCTATTCTTGGATTTGAAAAACAGGGGGGGGGGGGGGGGGGGGTAGAGAGAGAGAGATTTTTATCGAAAAGTGATAATTTATTACATTTACTGATTTTTTTCCATATTTTTCTATATAAAATTTGCACCCTGCCTCTGGAAAAAATAGGGGAAACTCTCAAAAATAGGAGTGAATCCCCCTATCCCCTTTCCTAGAACATACACTGAATCAGAAACATTGGAAGCTTAATAGAGCTTTTTGAGTTTAGCCCTTTAACATGCTTACGAAACTTAAACATTACTGTTATTTGGTAAAATATCGTAAGATTCAGTGTATTTTATTGCGGTTAAATAAACACTCAACTTCCAAAAAGAATGCATTGTGCAGCATATTTAGACAAAAAAAAAACATAACAAGATGAACCAATCAAGCTAGGTAGGTATTGATAAGTTTCTGAAATGATAGTATGGAAATGCTTATATGCATGCCCTGTATCTTATTTGTTCCAAAGTCATTGAATTCTTTCTGCATCGTATACATAATTTATTGACATTCCTTTCGTAGATTTACTCACTATAACTCACTACAACAATTGGTACATTTACCTTGTTTCTTCTATTTGCAACACCAAAAAACATAAAAATACAAAAACACCATAAATTACAATTTATAGTGCCTTATATATTTTAATTATGTTGTTAAGATATAAAATTTCAATTCCTGTGTCAAGCAACTATATAGATGCGCATTATGTCTTATTTCAGAAAATACACTTTTGTCATGGCTGAGTTCGCCTCTGCGCGGGCTTCTATAACTGGATCCGCAATCCCCATTGCTGGATATAGTTCAGGAGCCGAGCATACCTTTGATCCACAAGCAGGCGTAGCAGAGTCTGCGCCGGAAACGGAGGCTGGCCAAGAAGGGGGAGGTAACACAGTAACGTTTGGAGGTGTGGAGACATTCAGTAAGACTAACTCTTCAACTGCAGGATCAACCGTCGGTGCACTTACTGAGGGTGGGTTCTGTTTTCTATATGTCTAAAAGTTAAAGGGAGGAAAGGATAAAACTATTTATGTAATATAAGCGTCAAGATTTTACATAAATCCAAAAAAAAAGCACAATTATGATGCTTGAAATGTATGCATTTCTGAAGTCTGTGTTTTTCTTAATCCAGTTCAGTACTAAAAAGTTTTCGTTACGTTTACTATTGTCATGGTAGAAACACGTGCTTTGGGACATGTACATTTTCCGAATAAAGTGATATCCTAAATAGATGAGCTGATACAATTCCAGTTTTCATCATTATATCATTTTACTCACTTCAAAAAGTATTCTTTACTGATCTAGATAAACACAGTATATGTGTCAAGAGATTATTAAGACCAAACTAGAAATGTTTCGATTTATAAATTGTTTTAATTCGACGTTATGTATTTATTCATGTCTACTTTAAATTACCATGCGTGTAACCATAACGGCTGATGTCAATTGGTTTGGGTTGGTTTATTTATAGACACTGGTATGACTCCTATATCACAGAAGGTGACCAGCGAGCTAATTGCGGCCGGGGGTGCTGACAGTACTGTGCCACCCATGGAGACACCTGGACCAAATACTTTACAGGACAGCCAAACGAAAATGCATATTAATCCAGACGTTGTTGTGGTATATAAACGTGTTTCTTAAAAATCCTATTGGCCGAGTGGTTAAGGTCGCCGACTTGAGATCACAGTTCCCTCACCGCTGTAGGTTTGATCCACACTCGGGTCGAAATCTTTCATGTGAGTAAGCCATCCAGCTGGCTTACGGAAGGTCGGTGGTTCTACCCAGGTGCCCGCTCGTGCCTGAAATAATGCCCGGAGGGGCACCTGGGGTCTTTCTCCACCAATAAAAGCTGGGGAAAAAAACGACGAAAAAATCTCGGCGTGACGCTCTAGGATGGCCCAACTTGAGTTTACGGTCGCCCATATGGTCTTTCCGGCGGCGACCTTAAATAAACGCATTAAAAAAATCCTATTTAAATGTCTTATTGGACTCCACTTGGTTTTAATACGTGACTGGACTGGAAATATTTTTTCAAGATTAATGTTACATTTGATGTAGGTATAGACTAATAACTTATGTGCAACATTTCAGATCATTCACTCACTCCGTGTTTCCAAAATAATTATTTTAATTGTGAAAAATGACCAAAAATTGAAAAGCGTTGCAACGCTTTTCACTCAAATGGAGTTAAGAATAGCACAAAAATACGATTTTAAATTTATGTCTGAGTGTTTTTTCTCAATTATCTTTTGCATATCGTTCTGTTAAAACTACGATAGTTGATCTATATAAGAAATTTAAATTTTATGTAATGCGGCTTTTGGACCTCTGTGGAGTCCATGACGTTAGTATTACTATACATGCAGAGTTGTAAATATTTCAGTTTCAAAGTTTCCAATCCTACAAGGCTTGCTGAATGTGTTCATGGCGATTTCTTTTCATTGGCGCTGGATTTATATAACATACATATATATTAGTCGAAATAGATAAACATATATTATAATGATATAAACTTAGTTCTTACCGTAATAACATTTATACTTATCTCTTAAAATATGAATTCTTTAAAATGCAAATGTCATATCTGGATGTTTAATGTAAAATTATCAAATTTTATTTTAAATATAGGAAAGGAATTTAATCACAAAACCCTATTTAAATGCGGTAATCATCGGCCATCTTGCTTGCGGAAAATCAACTGTTTCCGGTAGACTGGTATACGAGTGTGACGGTATCGATGAAGAATTGATGACGAAATTTGAGCGGGAAGCAAATCTGGTAGGTAGTGTATGATAAATATTTTTATAAAAAAGATGAGAGATTTTAGAATATATCCATAAATTTATTGTAAAGATATTCAACAGCTTAAGACAAATGATATCTAATACTATACAAAAAATTGCTTTTTTTAGTGTTGTTGTTGTTGTTGTTTTCTTGTGTGTTTTTTTAAAACTTTTTGTTTCCATTTCAGGCTGGTAAGGCAGCCTCTAAGTATGCGTGGGTAATGGACAAATTACAGGCTGAAAGAGAAAAGGGTATCTCCATAGATACCAAACTTCGTCGCTTAGAAACTCGTAACTATTACGTCAATATCATTGACGCACCCGGTCACATTGATTACGTCCATAACATGATAACAGGCTCTTCCCAGGTAAATATGCTGATATATTTATAACACAATATTGTCAGAATGGTAGTAGTATACGTGTAGAATATTTAACTTATTGCTAACCATACGAGTAATTCGAAATTATCCTCCCAAAAGAAGAAGTCAACATTTGCAGCAGTTTGACCTTATATTTCGGTACTTTCACTATAAAATAACCACTTTTGAACAGCCACCTGTTTTGAGGTGTTACGATCCTGTTAAAGGCCCATTATGCCTTAGAAATGTTATCTTATATTTTATTTTTCAAAAGCTTTTTAATTTTGATGTACTTTTCAAGTGTCCAAAAATACTGATTTGCCAATTACCTGAACCATCTTTTTTATCTGTAGCCTTTTGGCAATAAGTATAGTTATAGTGAATTGGAATTTTGTATGTAAGTCAAAATACTAGTAATTTCTCATTTATCACTACTTTCTTCAGCTAGGTTACAATCAACATTCTCTAAAACCATTATTTTTATTGTCATAAAATTCACGTTTGCCTTTTCTACAGAAGTAAAAATTCATTTGTTTCTGAGGTATAATGTGCCTTTAATTTGCTCCGTATTACATAATATTTCTATACAAAGCTCTTGACACTGTTATTTAAATGTCCAAAGAACATTCGAGATATCTTTGTTGACATTCATCCATGTTCGTTTATGTTATACATGATGATATTATACCTTATATGGAATCTGAAATATTCTTTATATAAAATGAATGCAGGCCGATGTCGCAATTCTCGTTGTATCAGCTAAAGAAAAGGAATTTGAGGAAGGCGTGACACACGACGGACAGACACGCGAACACCTGCAGCTTGCCTACGCTATGGGAGTTAAACAGCTCATTGTCGTGGTTAATAAGATGGACGTGACGAAACCACCTTACAGTCAGGTACAATATAATGTTCTTTCTCAACTCTCTAAGATATGCATGTACCTTGTTCAATTGCGGAGGGAAAGACTGCTCCGGTAAATCATTTATAGACACATTCAGGCACCTGAATAAATCCTTAATATTCCACTAGGCACAGGCACTGTTCGTAAACTGACGGGAAAGCCAACTCGTAGCTCAAAGTTACCATTTTAAACCACCCGTACACATGACCGCCATAAGTAGACAATGTGCCGCGTGCTGTATAACGGAGTAGATTTCTCATATTTTCTTAATTACGTTTGGTTTATGTCCTATTAATAATTAACTTCTGCACGAATGATTGAGTTTGTAACAAACTGATTCACATAACCACAATAAGAAGACTTTGTACCATGTGCTAGACTCGGGTTACTAGGTCAAGGTCGGAACATGTGAGTTAACTTGTTTTTGTCATTATAAGTGGAGTTTGTGGTTCATAAGTTATGTTTGTATGAATGCATTCCACCAATTATATTTATTCGTCACTACTATGAAAAGACGACGCAAAACCATTGTATTATGTCAAAAGCAAAGTCACAGCTGGGGTTTGAATTTTTTTTATCAAATGTATTCTTGAATGTAATTTTTATTTTTCAGCATTTTTTCATTACTACATATAATTGTATTTTCAGTATTCAACAAGTTCATATTTGGTCAAAATTCAATAACTCTCGATAGCTTTGCTGTACATATATATATATACATACAATCATACTTATAAATACATGCATCATGAAAAAACCAGGAGGTTAGTATTTGACTTTTTTAAAATAATAATTTTGTAATATACATTTTTTCATTTTTTTAATTGGGGGTTTTCCCCGGATTTGTTGGGCCGTTATTTATCAAAAATACCCGTATTTGCTTTATATATGTACATTTATAGCTTCGTTTTTTTCTTCAGAAAAGGTACAACTTTATTGAGAAAAACGTGGACCTGCTTGTGAAAAAGGCCGGGTTCGACGCTGAGACTGTCATTTATATACCAATATCCGGTTGGATGGGGGACAACCTGGTCAAAAGAAGTGAAAGTCTGAACTGGTTTAAGGTATACAGTTTCCCTCTTTTTGACTTAAGTCAAATCTTTTTACCTAGGTTTAACGTTTACATGAGGGATTTTTATTACTCGTACTTTTCAATTAATATCATTTTCAGAGTGCTCAGATGAAATGCAAAAAGAAAATATTCAACCGGTGCTAGGGAGGCGTGATTGATGTTGCACATTTTCATTATCCCTCATGTACTGACTCGATCGAACCGAATCTGTAATTTTCATGTAATTTTGTTGTGATCAATGCTTCCGAGGGATAATCTTTTTCTAGATTTTTACATAACCTTTTTGCAAAACTGCATAATTGCCGAATCATCTGAGTATACGCAGATATTATATGCATGGTAAAATATGTGGCGAAAGAGTATTTATTTTAAATCCATACATTTCTATATACACCTCTCTCCTGATGATATTCGGACAGGGAATACATGTAGTTTTATTACAGACACGTGGTTTAACGTGGGATCTTTAATCTTAAGATAGACCATCCGCGTAGAAACGTAGAATTACGGCGGCACACTTCGGCAAACTTTTAACAAATCACTTATCTCCCTTTATATAATCGGAAAAGAAAATATCAACCTTAAGCCGTCCGGTTGCTCAATAGGTAGAGCGTTAGACTGTCAATCGGGCGACTCGGGTTCGATTCCCGGACGACGCAGGTCACTCTCGTTGTGATTGATCATGAAATCCTTTCTACGGTCATTCGCACTGTACCTCTGCTCTGGAATGTACAGAAGTTTCAGTTCCTTGCGAAAGTGAAGGCAACTAGAACTGGTAAACTGCTTGACAGCCTGCCCAGGAAGGATGCTGTGGTTGAACTGTGCTCTGGTGAATTTAAGTTGGCTTACTGTCGAGATCTACCAGCACCAAAAAGAAAATTTGACGTTAGACCATAATAATATGGTATAATTTAACTTACGAATTATAATATCTGTATACAAATTGTGATAAACAATAGATATTTATTTAGATATTGTCATTCTAGATGTGGAAAATTGAGAGAAAGTCCGGTGGTGCCAGTGGAAAGACTGTCGTAGATGCATTGGACGCTATGGAGCGACCGCCAAAGTTAGAAAGATACCCACTCCGCATGGCCGTCCACAGTGTTTATAAACTTGGCAGTAAGTTTAATATGAAACATATTAAAAAAGTTTCATTTACTTATAAAAAAATTATTAGTTTCAACTTCTGGCATCATATTACATATACCAAGTTTCCTAGACGAACAAAACTTAAAGCTTCGTGCCTCCAGATGAGCACAAATATTTCAAGGCAATGCTACTTAAGGAAAATGTGCTAATTTTTTAAAAAAAGTATTAAACAAAACAAGATTTAAGTTAAAATGTACATGCTTTGTACGATTTATGACTGATTTTATTGTATTAATCATCATATTTTTACTGCGTGACTAACGCAGTAACGACTATTTTTGCCTATTTTGGCCTCTTTTTTTGTTACTTAAGTGACTTGTAAGTGCTGTTTGCAATGTGTAAATTACCTTCTTTGTTTACTTCACAAATTTTAGTTTTAAATACATTTTCAAAATTCAATTCTATATTAACAAATACATACGATACGTTCGGAAGAATATCAATATTCGAGTTCGTGATCCCCTTTCAAAAATCTATTTTATTTAGTTCCGCCCGTTGTTTTCTTGTTTAGGGCACACGCATTTTTTTACTTAAGGGCCCTTAACCACTTCTATTTCTAACGTGTCACATTGAGGCATCCATGATGACCGCCGTATGAATACATTTGCGGATGTTTCTTAATTAAAAATTTCACCATTTTTAAGTGTAGAATCCTCCCAAGGCCGGTGGTACGGGTCGTGGACAGTAGCTTTCATTTATCACTTCTGTCCAAAACGGGCTTAATGCAAAAGTTTCAATTTTGCCATTTTGGGCATTTCTTTAAGGATTCCGTTTCTCTCAATTTTTAAAACATTTTCAGTGTATGCCTTAGTTCTAAAATATTCATAAAATCATAATTATTGTTTATATTACAACATGTATTATATTTTGTGCTCCTTTGCTGTGATTATTGTAAGACATTTGGAGACAACAGCCACTCATTAAGGCGGTGCTAGAGAGCATAAGAAATGTTCTTTGTTTATTATAATGAAACAGACTTAATCCAAAGACTGTGATTTTCATCTGAATATTTTCTCACTTTTTACATAATTTTCATTCCATTAATCTCTAGAATATTATTGAATATCATTTATAAATCTAGTTACATGTATTTATAAGTTTATTGTTAGAACCTCTTTCTTCTTTTCCGAATGACAGCGGTGGGCGTGGTTGCGGCTGGTAAGATACACTGCGGCTTCGTGAAGCCAGGAATGTCTGTCACATTTGGTCCACCAGACCTTAAAACAAAGGTAATTCTACAAGTGTCTTCATTTCCATCTAGAGTCACTGTGTTTCACACTTAAAGGAACACCAATCAGATCTAAAATCCAAGAAAATATGAAATTCTAACGAGCGCTGAAAACGGATAAATATGCAAATTATTAGAAAAAGTATATTAATTACTAAACTGAAAAATATTTTTATTTGATTTTTAGCTTGATTTGAAATAAGGCGTTTAAACGCTTTCCATGTGCGTGTCATTTATACAGTAGCAATCATTGTTCTAGGGGAAAAAACAGAGTAAGGTAATGAAATCTTGCACACAAGTGTTTGGTTCAAACCTTTATCAAACGGTTCAAATATTGAAAAAAAGTCAAGGCCCGTCCCGTTACATAGGAAATGTAGCTCACAAAAACCGAGAAATCTTACTTTTTTCACATTCCAGTTACAATCAGCAAACATAAAATAATGTGTTCGTTGTTACAGGTCCGGGCAGTTCAACTTCATCACGATGCTGTGACAGAGGGGTACCAGGGGGAAAACGTCGGTCTTCAGGTTGAAATAAAGTTATTATTATTGATTTAAAAGAAACCGTTGCCTTTGAATTTCCAATAACTTTGCCCACAATGCTTGTAATTAAGTTAAAGACACAGAGAAGGAAATGCTTCACCTTAATTTTATCTATTAGAATTGTTATAACTATGCACACGATTTTTATATTTACATTGTATACGATTAAATATTATCAAACTAAAGAATCTTTTTCAATTTTCAAAAGTGTATGAACGTTTATCTTTGAGTAAAGTTTATTCCGCATGGATACTACCAAAGGAATATTTTTACATGAAATTTCAAGGATTCTCAAAACTCTATAAGTATTAAATGAATATAGCATGCATTTTCAAATCCATAAGAAAAGCTCTATATAAAACTTTTATCAGGTGTACATTGTCAAAATCAGTTACAACGTTTGCTAAATTATTGCATTACTTTTATCAGATTGAGGGACTAGATGTGAAGGACATTAGGAAGGGATTTCTGTGCGGGGAGACAAGCAGAGATCCGCCAAAGAAAGTTCAGTTATTCACAGCACAGGCACGTATATATCTATGTGTATTCACCCCCTCTCCAATCTAACAGGTGTATCTCAGCGTCGTTATCCAATAAGTTTTTATTAAACAGTTTTTGAGGACGGTCGCTTGCATTTACCACTGTCATCCAAAAACCTATTTTTGTCATATTTGCGGCATTCAAAGTTTCTATTTTGACTGTTGTTGAAGTCTTGATAACAAAAACCCAAAGTTTTCTTTTTCGTGCATGTTTGTAATTAGTACTTGACTTTAACTACAAATTAACCCATGTTTGTATTCAAAATACATCTTCGTGGTTATAACAGATCGCATGTACGAACTTTTTGAACATACCTCGTACAGTTTTAACTTCGTATATTATAGATGGTGATCCTGCAGCATCCTGGGGTTATAAAGAAAGGTTACACACCCATGCTCCACTGTCACACCGCATGTGTACCAGTCAAGTTTTCCGAATTGAAAGAAAGGTGCGATCGAAAAACAGGTGGGCGAATGGAATACAGTCCGACGGTTTTAAAGGCGGGCGACGCTTGTGTTGTCGACATGGTACCATCTAAACCAATATGTGTTGAGTCATTTTTCGATTATCCGTCGCTAGGGAGATTCGTTGTTAGGGACATGAAGCAAACAATAGGTGTTGGTGTAATTGTGAACATTGCTGGACGCGATCCGCCACAAACGGACGACGATAAATGGGCCGTGGGCACCGTGCCTTTTGCCCGACGACCACAAACGACTGGCGGAAGAAGTGTAACATTTAGTATACCGCAGCCCGACGAGTTTGAAAAACCAAAGAATTTCTCTTTTCAGGATGAGGAAACTTTCAGAACCCAATCTGGTAAACTTGAAACCGAGTTGTAGACAAAAAGAAGATACAATTCCATGTTTTAGCGATAACATTCTATTTCTAATTTGGCTACCAGCTATTTTGATTTTCCTGTAAGGAAAAAAAACTTGTATTGTTTGTATTATATGTTTTTATATTATTTAGTTTGTGTTGTTCTTAATCAGCTCCAAGCAAAATGATACGTCATACCACATTACATATTACCGGATTACCTTAATCAAGTCAAGAATTATTTCACAGGTAAAGAAACAACAACAAAAAACGTTTAATCAAAGGAACTTGAAGTTTTAAACAAGCGAATTTGTTAATTTAGTCCATAATTTGATGTAAAAGTTAACTTTGCTGATAAGGTCTCATGACGACTTATCAGCTTTCCAGTTGGAAGAAACCCTACTGTGCCCATAAAGCACGAGCGGGCACCTGTTCAGAACCACCGGCCTTGTTATAATGATTATTGTTTCTGTTTATAAAACAATTTTCGTGATCAGCAACATGGAGACAAGAATAACTAAATATAGGCCAACCCATATCAGACTTCCTGCGTTCTTCCGTACACGTATCCAGCATGGCAGATCATTGTCCGTGCTGATTTTGTAAATCAATAAAAGGAAGCAAACACGTGTCAAATGTTACAAAATTATCATTCGTTTATCTGTAGCCAAAAGCACTTGGTTAAATTCAATGTTGTCAAAAATTATTTTTAGTGTTGAAGAGTGGACCAAATTGGAAATTTTAAATATAAAATGTTTGCAAACAGCAAAAATGAAATATTGCCGTAACTATGCAAAACAATTTTTTACGTATTATTGATTCCGAGAATAAGTGAGGTTTTTTTAAAAATCGTTTTTTTCCCAAAAAAAAATGTAACTTTTATCCTGCTGTGACGGTATTAAAAAGCCTTTACCACAAATATAGAGTCTAGTCCAACTACTCGTTGAGATATTGTACTATTTATAGTAGGGGTAATACCTCAGCTCTAATCTCTAGCGAGATTCTGAACCAGAACAAAGAAATATCTCAGAATCTACCTATGGCATATCAAACCATTTTAACTATGCATTAAAGCTCGACCAGATCTGACCAGGCTCAGTACAGTTGGCAGATATATACTTATTGTATATTGTCCTCCCCTTAAACTTTTAATGCACTGTCCATTATTCAAAGCTGGGCAAATTTCGTACATATATTTAGTAGGTTTAGAAATAATCACATGATAAAATAAATGTCAAATCACAAAAATGAGCGATATTCTTTTGTCAAAGGTCACGGTATATATCCATATCAGTACCCCCTCTGCGAAACGTTCTGAAGCGGTAACACATGCTCGGCAATGGACTTGCTTAGCGCGGAGGAAGGTAGTCTAGTACTGGTGTAACTCTCCAGGAACGATGGTTAGGAAACTACCCACCTATATGACTGAAATACTGTTGGGAAAAGGCGTAAAATGAAACAAACAAAACAAAACAAACAGCAAAGGAATTAATTAAAAGTAAACAGAATTAAATGAATCCCCTAAGAACGCCCGTAACGGTAGAATTGGAAATTTTTCCGGCTGGCTTTGATTGAGCCTTTTAAAGGGCAATAGTGTTATGTTCAAATGGTAATGGTCATTTTAATCTTAAATGGAATGTGGGTCGCTAACATAACTTTACATAGCAAGCCAAAAATGTCAGGGACGAAAACATGCTCGAATTTTCTCTGATACAATGGGAAAACATTAGATTTTTTTATTCGAACGAGTAAGTTTTACATATGCAGTAGATACATGAATTTGAATGATATTAAGAAAAAATAGCATATGTCTGAAGTAAAAATGTTCATTATCAAAGGCGATAGGGTTTAAATAACAATTTTAAACAAAATTCTGAGTTCAAAGGGGAGATAAATTCTTGTTAGAGTTAGAGTTAATAACCGGTCATAGAAGTAGTGGATAAATTTGAGATACAGTCATGTAAGTCAGGAGAAATCACGATGCAGACACAGAATAGACAGCCATCTGCGGCCATATACTTTTTATTAGTCGTGCAAAAAGTACTGCCGTTTTTCACAGTAAATGTATGTTTAAATATTAGTGAATTCATACATTTATCTAGTTGAATATGTGATAAATAGGATATTATATTCATTTGGATTCAATATTAATTAAATTTATTGAGCACACTCATTCAATAACTTGTATGTAGCAGTTCAATAATCATTTTCTTCTCTCTGAATAGCTTTACCGCCTTACGACCAAAAGTGCTAGTCGCATTGATTTGACCTAATATAATATAATATCAATATATAAAAAAATAGATTTTTTTGTTTTGTAATATTGTTATAGACCAATATAACAAAAATAAAAAGAAAAATTCTATTTATTTTTTTTACTTTTTTTAATATATTGATATTATATTACATGAATAACAGTTTCAGTTTTCAGTTTTTATTTGGCAAATCGGCATATTTAACATACCTTTGGCCAATTTAACAAATACAAATGACGAATATGACCAAGACATATAACATACATAGTTTACAAGATAAGCATATAAACATACAAACAAACGTGTACATTTTCAAAGTTTAAGAAGCAGCTTCCGTTTCTAGACATATCTTCCTTAACTGGAAAGCCTCATATATGTATTTTGCAGTTTTATACAGCTTACATTTACTACTACAAGACATAATATTAACAAATTTATGTACATTGGGCCATGGACAATTACCCAAATATTTAGCTCTCAAATCAACATATGCAGGACAAGTTAATAAAAAGTGATATTCTGATTCAATCATTTTTGTATTACACATTTTACAGATTCGCTCGTCTCTTTGTGAACCACTAAATCTTCCGAATTCAATTTCTAGCTTGTGAGAACACATTCTGAAACATGTTAAACATTTTCGTAATTTATCATTTCTTATAATGCTCAGATATCTTTCATAACCAAAACATATTTTATACTTTCTGTAGTAATCTTATTTAGACATATTCAATGTTGTCTCATTCCAAGATTGTATAAACTGATCTCTAATACGTTGTTTCATAGCAGGAAAATAATTTACATCTTGCATAAAATTCACTAGAAGATTACTGTAGCCTAAATTGTCAATCAGTTGTTTAATCTTATACGCCCAGCAATTCACATTATTTCCATTGCTATGATCTAAATATAATCTATACATAGGTGAATCCTGATTTTTCATTATTTTTAACCAATATTTAATAGCTCTTTCTTTACAAATAACAGAAAGTGGGTACCTACCCAGTTCACCAAGAACAGCTAAATTAGGAGTTTGTTGTTTAACACCCAAAACAAGTTTACAAAATTTTATATGTATTTTATCTACTTCAGGAAATTCATAATATAAATACCCCATACTTCAGAGCTATAGAGAATAATTGATACAACCAAAGAATCAAAAAGTGCAAGCTTCATTTTTATATCAAAATTTACTTTATCAAAAAGAGACAAAAGTGAATTATATGCTTTAAGAGCTTGATCTGACAATGCTTTAACAGACTTTTTCATGTTTCCTGTATAAGTAAAATTTACACCAAGATAAGTAAAATTATCTACTACCTCAATTTCTTCATCATTAATTTTCCACACAAAATTATTTACTTGTCTTCTTTTCTCAAAAATACATATCTTTGTTTTATTAACATTTATTTTAAGGCCCCATTTAATAGAATAGTTATTAACAACATCTAACTGAGCTTGCAAAGATTCAGGGTTAGTTGTGAATAAAGCAATATCATCAGCAAAAAGAAGCATATACATACTAGTATTTAACTGATTTAGCTCATTTTCAGTTAATAGGTTAAAATCAATATTTTCATTAATGTCATTAACGAAACGAATACATAATAATGGCGAGAGTGGTTCCCCTTGTTTTAAACCTATAGACACGTCAAAAAACTCTGAATAATTCATAGCAGACACTTGTACACAAGATTTAACATTTGCATACATGTATATAGACTTAACAATATTAACCATTTTACAGCTGACACCTTGTTTTAAAAGCTTTACCCATAAGGCATCTCTAACAACTGTATCGAACGCTTTTTCATAGTCAATGAATGCACAATACAATTTCGATTTATTAGTCAACACTTTTTGAATGATGGAATGAAGTAAAAATATACAGTCAGCGGTAGAATGACTATCTCTAAAACCAAATTGTGTTTCATTTAATACATGATTTTGCTCACACCATTTATTCAATTTATTTCTAAGCAATAAAGAAAATATTTTACCTATAACATTCACAAGGGTAATACCTCGGTAATTAGAAGGATTTGTTACATCGCCTTTTTTTTGTGAATTGGTACAATTATACCCTTACACCAAGCTTCTGGGTATAAACCAGAACCATAAATTTTATTAAAAATAGAAACAAGGTATGGGGAGATAAAACTATTAGAATCGATGAAAAATTCAGCTACATTCCTGTCATAGTCGCAACTTTTTCACCTATTCATAGATGCAATTGTTTTTGTAACCTCTTCAATATCAAAAGGACGATCAAGCTCATCAATGTTTACCTCCTCATACCTCACTTCATGTACATCGTCAAATGAAAAGTCATTTTGCATTGTATTAGAAATATTCTTAAAATGTTCTACGAAATCATTTGTACTCACATCTGATTATTTAGATTTTTTACTATTTTTAAACTTATTTATGTACTTCCAAAATTTCCTAGGACTTTTCTTACTTATATCATTTAATTTGGACCTCTCTTTAATTAATAATATGAACGTTTAACAGCCCGTTTAATAATTGAATATTCACTCCTACTTTTAAGAAAATTAACTTTGTTTATTTTAGTTTTATCAAAAGAAAAAATTATCTTATTGCGTTGAAAAATAGCCTTAGCACTTTTACACTGTTCATTAAACCATGGGGCTTTCTTCTTTTTAATATGTTTTCTTTTTTGACTTGTGTAGGTTCGACCATTCAACCTAAATGATATATCATATACTGTCTTTGAAAATTCATTTATACATACATTTAAATCAATTTCACCTGTGTTCAGTTTATGTGACAACTCATCAAAGGTATATCTATTTTCCTCTAATAAAGTTTGCAACTGTTCTGGGTCTGTATTTTCACATACAATTTTATCATACGTAAAAATATCAGTCATATAGAAAAAGTTATTTTCAATATTCATAGAAAAAGATACTGGGCAGTGATCGGAAAATTCAGTTAAACTATGCACATTCATACCCGATATACAAGGAAAATTAGTGTAACTCGTTATGAGATAATCTACAACACTAGCTGCATTTTTTTTGCTACTCAAATTATGACAGGTAAATTCACCTCTCTCAAGGCGACCATTTGCAATAATAATGTCATTTTCTTTACAAAGGGATAGCAGACGATTACCAAATCCATTTACATGATTATCTTGAGAAATGCGTGCATTGATATCAATTACGGACTGGTTATTCACGGGTAAATCGATATAACGGTCAAGATTAATATCTTGCACGAAGTCGGGTTTTTGAACTGTCCTTGAATTGAGGTCACCTGTCAAAAATACGTCACCAAGAAAACTATAGTGCCTTATGTCAGTATTTAACTGTTCGAAAAAAATCGAATTGATATAAGTTTGAACTAACATTTTTATACACATTAGATTCTTCAGGGGGTATATAGCATGTGCAAAAATAAAGGTCATTAAATGTCCCAAAATGTTCTTTCTTTAATTTAAACCAAACAATACCGTTTGAATTTAAGCTTATTAGATCAATTTTATTTCGATAGTCTTCCTTATAGTATATTATAACTCCTCCACTATATAACTAGATTAAACATAATTTAGGTCAAATCAATGCGACTAGCACCTTTGCTTAAATTACTGTTTCGGATGGAAAATATTTAGTGGCTTTTGGTCACAAACTATTTAGTGGCGTAAACCGGTGTGGACGTAAACAAAAGGCGTAAACAATTAAACTCCAGGAAGTGACAAATAATAAAGTGTTTGTATGTTTTATTGACATTATTTAACTGACAGCTAGTTTTTACCATTTATTCTTTCAGAATCGATAGTAAAATATGTCTAAGTATGTCTGAACATGGAACCTGATGTTTAAATTCTATCAATGTTCATTATATTCTGCTGTTTCGGACCAATGACAGTTCGACCCAAATATTCAATGCTTTTATACACTTTATTATATCAGGGTCTTTCAAATTTATTAAATGTGATATATAAGAGATTTATATTTCATAATTATATCAATCTAAATGTTACATCATTCTTGTAATAATATGAAGAATAATATCAATAGATATAAAATATATATACATATATAGATATGTATATAGATATATATGTAGACGGGCGCTAGTCCCATAATCAAATATTTTACATAACCGGTTATTATATGTGTATTAAGATATCTTATTATAGTATATAGCCCATATAAAACTTCAAAAAGTTTTTTTCAAGCACCTGTGTATATTTATATAATAAACCAGGATACATGTCTTCAGGGTAATTTTATACCCCTAAGCATATAATATAGTGAACATGTACGAGGATGCATCAATAAATTTGTAAGCTAATTCAATAGCGGGGAAATTATTTAATCAAGTACCTTAAATGATTACTCCTTCTCAAAGTAACGTCCCATGCACGATTTGCACTTGTCCCATCTCTCGACCCATGACTCGAACACGTGTTGTAGCCGTAACGTGACATCTCCTGCAGCTGTCTGTCCTTGGCACAGCTCAGTTCCTCTCTTGACTCAAATTTCGTACCACAAAGACTTTTTTTAAAGTTGGAAACAGCCGGAAGTCACAAATTGCTAGGTTCGGGCTATAGGGTGTGTGCGGTAACAGTAACATTTTAGGTCAAATCAATGCCACTAGCACCTTTGTTACTATTAACTTACTAACGTGTCACCCATAACTTAATATGCCATGCTCGGGTATGTTGAGTGATGCTCCATTGCACTTATATCTGAGAATAATATGTCATAGTTGTATTGTAATATATTTATATTTTAATATCTTGGATATTTGCGGATTTCATTTGTTGCGTCTGTGTCAGTCTATATTATATCTCAGCTACAAGTAAACTGCTGACTGGGTTACATTGACATTCACCCCAACAACACTATATGTAGAACCCATTCCACCATAGCAACGTCTAATTAAAAGTCAAACTTCAAATATCAGGCAATTATATGTCTGCTCTATAAATCCTTTACTCTGACATGTAATGTCAACCTCAACAAGGCATTGTGCAAAATTCATGCCACGGCTGTGCTGGTTCAAAGTCAAGGTCATCCTTCAAGGTCAAATACCAAACAATTGTGTGTTTGCTCTATATACTATACCATTTAATTATGACTGAAATGTTCACCTCAACAAGGCAATGTGCAGAACCCATGCAACCACTCTGTAGATTCAAGGCCACTTTTGAAGATCAAATATCAGACAATTTTATTTCTTCTCTTTGAATGCTATATCCTATTAGGTGTTTTCTTAAAACTTTGCTCAAATGTGCATCTCAAAAGGCATTATGCAAAACATATGCTTCTACTTTGCAGACACAAGGTTACTATCAAACGTCAAAATTTGAACATTCTGTGTCTGCACAATAAGCTCAAATGACTTTTTAAAAACTTATCTTAAATATTTTCTTTCAGAAATCATGATAAATTATAAAAATGTTAAAAAAATTCCTCATTTCATACATGTTTATTAAGTGTGTTTAAAATTTTTCTTGAATTCTTGATCATAAAATGAATGGTACAAAAAACAACAGATACCAAATAATTCCTTAACTGTCTTAAATAAATGTACGGTTATTAAAAAAAATCTCATTTAAAAGTAAACAAAGGTGATATTTTGCAGATATTGTATTTTGTCAGGGCCACATTTTAAATGTGGGCCTAAAAAACCTAGGCATTGTCGATATTCAAATGTCTCAGGTCAGTATTTCCTAATAATATTTTGCTGTATGGTATGGTTGGTGATACTAAGGGCACTATTTTAATATCCAACTGATTTCTATGAAAATAATTGATTTTTTGTATGGTAATATTGAATTAATATTGTTTTGCTGTTTTATCTGAAATTTTTCTTTTTAAATTACAGAGCAAATTGAGCAACATTGATTTGAAATGGCTACAAGTAGCAAGGATTTATCAGAGTGTGTGAATGGGTTCACCCTTGATTTGTATAAACATGTCACAAGTAAACAGCCCTCAGGTAATTTACTAGACATAATGTATAAAAGATTTCCTGAATCCTTACTCTGACATGCATTATGCTATTGGAAGTGATTCACCATGTAATTCACAGTATTTACAACTGTGCAACAATTATTTCTCTGAAATAAATTTTCAGCAGGCATGTTTGAAGAGAAATTCAATATCACTGTTGTTTAATGAAAATCAATGTTACAAACACTTAGTGCTATAAGTTCAAATAATTATGGTTCTACATAACACCTTAAACATATTTTTGAAAGAAATGTAAACATCACATGCATGTATATCTACAACATATATTGTATTCAATTCTAAATTTTTTATGTCAAGTACATGTACTGGTAAAATTAAAGTGAATAATTTGGTCAAGTGATTAATATCATCAAATCAAATCTCTTGTCTATGGATTAAATTTAGACTCTCAACAGGGACAACTTGCCTTAGTGCCTTATTCATATAGCTTGCAAAATATCAGTGGGTCTTGTTTGTAATAGGCTTTATAATACCTTAAATAATGCTTTTACTCCAATCAAGGGTGTTTCTTTATTAGTGAGAACTGGGAAATTGTCATGATGGATGATGTAACTTTGAATATTGTGACTGTCATTATTATTGCAAACACTTTAAAACCTTATGTTTTTTTTATAATCCAGAAAATGTGTTCATGTCTCCAAGCAGCATGATGGTTGTATTGACAATGCTACATACTGGTGCTCGTAACAATACACAAGACGAGATGGCAAAGGTTCTGAAGTTAGACAAACTGGAGAAAAAGTCTGTACTACAGCAAATGGAATCCTTTGTAAGCACTTTGAAGAAGGGAAGTAAATCTGTTACCTTGAATACTGCTAACCGATTATTTCCCCATACAGATAAGACAATACTTCAGGAATATATTTCCCTTGTCACGAAACATTTCAAAGCTGATGTTAAGTCGATGGATTACACGAAAAACCCTGAAGGGGCCAGATTGGAGATTAATAAATGGGTTGAAGGGGAGACAAATGAGAAAATCAAAGACTTACTTCCAGGGGGATCTTTGAACCCACTTACAGCTATGGTGGTAGTGAATGCCATATATTTCAAAGGAAACTGGGCAACACAGTTTGAGACTAAAGATACCAACAAGAAAGAATTCACAAAATTGAATGCAGATAAGGTTCAGATAGATATGATGTTTAGACGCATGAAGAAAGTAAAGTACGGTGAAGACTCAGCACTTAACTGTAAGACTTTGGAACTGCCATATGAAGGCCAGGAATTGGCTTTTGTAGTTGTCCTTCCAAACAAAAATGATGGGCTTCCTAATCTGGAGAAATCACTTACTCTTAAGGCATTGCAAAGTCTGGTGACAGAGTGTCACCCAGCCACAGTAGATGTAACTCTACCAAAATTCAAGCTTGAAACATCACTTGAATTGAAAACCGTTCTATCAAGTTTAGGAATGGTAGACATATTTAGCGATAATGCTGATTTGTCAGGAATGGGGAAAGAATTGTATGTATCAGAGGTATACCACAAAGCTTTTGTTGATGTAAATGAAGAAGGAACTGAAGCTGCAGCTGCCACTGCTGCTGTTGTGATGAGAAGATCTATTGTTAGAACATTTAACTTTGCAGCTGATCACCCGTTCCTCTTCATGATTTGGGATCACAGGCTTCATGTTCCATTGTTTATTGGAAGATTTGTGGAACCTCCAGTCAGTGGTAACAGAAATGAACAATTTGCTCAGCAAACAAAACAAGAATTATGAATAATGCACCTGTTTTTCTTTTTAGCTCACCTGTCAGAATGTGACAAGGTGAGCTTTTGTGATCGCTTTTCGTCCGTCGTCCGTTAACTTTTACTTTTAACGAAATCTCCTTAGAAACCGCTAAGTCAATTTCATCCAAACCTCACAGGAATGTTCCTTTGGTGGTCACCTTTGAAACTTATTCAAAGAATTTAATTCCATGCAGAACTCTGGTTGCCTGCCATGGCAACCAAAAGAAGAAAAAACACTTCTTTTTAAAAACCCAAAGAGTTAGTGCTTACATATTTGGCATGAAACATCTTTTAGTGAGTGTCTAAGTTTGTTCAAATAATCTAAGCCCTGCCTGGGGTCAAAATTGGCCCCGTCCCGAGGGGGATCATTAATTTTCCTTTTATGCATCTAGTAAAAAACTGAAAAAAACATCTCTTAAAAATCCAAAAGAGCTAGAGCTTAGATATTCATTAAATCATTATGAAACATCTTCTAGTGTCTACTAATTTTGTTCAAATAAAAGCCCTTAGGTCCAAATTTTCCCTGCCCCTGGGGGTCATTCAGTTTCTTATATGTATATAGTAAAAACTTAAAATCGTCTTTAAAAAAATGCGAGATCTAGAGCTTTGATATTTGCCATGAAACATCTTCTAGTGGGTGTCTACCAAGTTTGTTCAAATAAAAACCCTCGAGTCAAAATTGGCAAGCCCTGGGGGTCATTGATTTTTCTTATATGTCTATATTTAAAACTTAAAAAATCTTCTTTTAAAACACTCAAACAGCTAGAGCTTAGATATTTAGCATGAAACATCTTCTATTGGGTGTCTATCAAGTTTGTTCAAATAAAAGCCCTGGTGTCATAATTATTCTTGTTCATGGAGAGTTTTTTTATTCAGGTGAGCAATTTCAGGGCCATCATGGCTCTCTTTTCAAAATATCTGTGCATTCTGCTTGCTTTTGGTACAGTAACCATGTTAGTAATTTCCAATTTCCATAGCTACCATTGACTTTCCTTAGCAATCAGTGATTTTCATAAAAACCATTGACTTAACTTAGCAATTTGTGACGTTCGCAAGTGTTGCCTTTCCTAAGCAACCAGTGGATTCCATAGCGTGAAAAAAACAACAATTTTATAGAAACTTTCTATATCAAGAAGTTACTTCAATAGCAACCAGTGTATAGAAATTTGCTTTGATAACTTTGATTCTAGTTATGAATTTAATTAATAATTTGATGAGACGTGTTTATTGAGTCAATTAGGACCTTTAACTAAAAATGATCATGACTATTAAGGACATTTCTTGCCTGGATTGTGAGAAATTTCTTATGTATCTATGGATTTTATTCATTCTTGGACAAAACTGTATTGTTGAATTATTCACTGTTGACTTTAACCTCAAAGTGACATTGACTGTCATGATTAATCCTTTGATTTTTGCTTTCATTGCCCTAACTTTGTTATTATGGACTAACTTTGTACAGAAACAAAACAACACTTGTGACAACAGCTAGATGTCGAATAAGTTATGTATGACTTTATTTGTAAATGACCTTAGCTGGCAAGGTCAAATATGAAATTAAATCAAGTGGTGTGTAAAATATTAGATAAATCTTTTCTATAATGTTCTCCCTTTGTTGTGTTTAGAAGTAAGAAAAAAAAAAGAATTGCGGTCCGCTTGTATTAGCTCCTGCTTAATGTAAATATTTGTACCGAACACTTTTGCATTACACTTTAAAAAAGATAAACCATTATAAAATATTAATAAAACATAAAATTTGAAATCTTTATTTTTAACCCTGAAGGCCAAATCCTCCAAAAAACTCCAAAATATTCTTAATTCCGCAGAAAGTCTATTTCTAAGTAGTATTTTACAATAATTGCACAGATTATCCTAGATTTTAAAATGCTACTGTCCTTAATTACTTGCTATATTTACGAATGGAAAAAAAGAAACATTTTCAGGAACATTTTCATCTTTGGTGAGTACCAACAGGTCTCGAGTTTGTCTTCGTATTATATATAACAAATACCTTTTAAAAGTTTCATGAGCCACGTTGTTGTTTTTCTTAGTTCTGAAGTAACTGTATTGCTATTTAAACACCATACAAGATTTCAATAGATCTTAATTAAACAGGCAATCGTTGTATTACATATTTTATGACAATTGAACTCGTACAAAGAGTCTTCTCTGAACGCTGATTTTGAATTCGTGTGGGATTTTGGTCAAATTGATAATTTCTAGCTAGTTGTCCAGGAAAGTCGGTAACTGGACCGTCTGCCGAGATATGACAAGAAATGGCGTAAAAACTAAACAAGAGCAATCACTGAACACGTGTCGTCTGATGATACCCAGTTAAGCAGTTTGATGGTGACCAGTTTGTTCCCTATATGCCCGGCTACTTTATAGCATGTTACAGGTACAGTGTATACGTAGCAGCAGGAGATCCTAACATCATTAGCAGCCCAAAACGATATTTTTATCTAAGGGCCATAACTAAGCCAGAAATCATTTGAACCGAAAAACCTGTTAAATAAGCGCAAGTATTTAAAGTACCAATCAATCCTGTTAAGTTTCACTCAAATTGCAAAAGTAGTATAAACTCTGACAAAAAATCATTGAACTAAAATGCCGGCTATATCCTTATAGACTTATAATTTCTGTAAAGTTTGGATGATATTGCACGGTTGCACCAGTAGTTTTTGAGGAGAAGTTCGGACAAGTTTTGTCACGGGCAGACCGACAAATCACATTGATAAGATTTGTAACATGTACCAGCTTCAGTGAATCTGGCGACACAAAAATGTAGAAAAATGCCTTTTTTATTCAAGGGCCATAACTCAGCCAACAATCATTCAACTAGAAAGTCGTGTTATATGAGCAAGTTTTGGAGATACCGATAAATTCTGTGAAGTATCATTGAAATTACATTAGCAGTATAAGAATCTGGACAAACTTAAAAAATCATTAAAGGCCCATAACTCTGATAAAAATCTTTGAACCGGAAAATGCCAACGATATGCACAACTATGTTTAGTACTGATCATCCCTGAAAAGTTAAGATATTATTGCGTCAGTAGTTTTTGAGGTGTGATCATAAAAAACAAATAAGAAGGATGTCAAAATATTTCACAAAATGATAGTTGAGCGCCAATTTAGTAGGTATAGTTGCATGATCGAATAACCAACTACCTATACTAGCTGTTAGTGGGTTATTCGCAATACCCAACTGGTATAGTTGGTAATTCAGTCCACTATCACAAGCATGAAATGTTCGGACTCATCATACGTCTTTAAACCTAGAATAAAGAAGAGGACCTAGTTGGTTATTCACACTAATCCCTAACTACCTACCAGCAGGTAGTTGGTAATTCGAAATTTGCATGTTTTCGCCTCAAAACTGAAAGTACTTTTCCGGAACAAATGATACGGACATATAGCAAGATATTATTCAACATGGAAACACATTCTCTCCCTTTGTCCACCAGAGGATTCAGTTGGTTATTCTCGCAAAACCCCAACTACCTACTAAAAGGTCGTTGGTAATTCGGACATTGAATATATTCCTCTAAAAACAATAAGTATTTTTATGAAACAAATGTAACTGTTTGTATAAAGAGATATGCCTTTGCTTATAATATGGTTACATCCCCTTCACAATATATCGACCGGGGGACCCATTTGGTAATTATATAACTACCAACCAGAAGATAGTTGCTTATTGGAACATTTCTCTATAACATTCCACATACAAAGGTAAAAGAAAAATGCCATGAATTGAATTGTTTCTACTACTGTCACTCGGTCTAGAGACAAAAACATGTAGTCCAATTTTCTTGTGTGCGTGCGTGTTTGTTTGTTTTACAGAAGGATATATCTTGTTTTTTGGTGTTTTTTTTAGATATTCCCCTCTCTTGCATTAAATTGGTATTTCTGAGGAAAATTTCAATAGTGTGTCATGTTATAGAAGTGCTTTAAGTTTGACTATATATATAAACCCTATAACAAGTAGAGAAACTGATAGCGAACCGCATGGATCCTGATCAGACTGCGCGGATGCGCAGGCTGGTCTTGATCCATGCTGGTCGCAAGCCCATTTTGTTGGTTTTGTCATGTCGCGGCTCAAATAGTCCAATCAAACGGACTGTCAGATAGTGTCAGAATCTTAAAACATTGATATTGTTGACAGTCCAAACAAAATGCTTTTATCAAACAAGCAAACATTAATGAGCCAATCAGCAACCATTGTTTGGCTAATGAAAAACAATGTTATGTACAAACTTTAATCCTATAACGTATATAATATGATTAGTTTATATAAAGTTCTAAATATATAGTCCTAAACTTTGAACGCTGAACTGTGAACGTTTTCCGTTCGGTATATCTTTCCAGAATACATGTATAACAATGAACAAAGGAATTTGTGAAATACGTCATCAACTCATAAAATGATTGATCAAAAAGGATGTCCTATCATATTTGCGTGTCACAAGTCCTTCCAAATAAGGAAACTTAGTTATTTACATTATATAAAAATACTATCAAAGTGGAATTATTCATTTATATTACAAATGCGTATATATTTCATATATATCATTGTATATTTATAATCATAATTATATTATACATGTATATTGTCATCATTGTAAATACATACATGTACGCACTAAATATAGTATTTTTCAGTTCGATTATACTTTCTCTGTTCATCATCGATAAATTCCTATTTCGCAATAGTTGCTTGGTTTTTACCAAAATAGAAAAATATGTCATGCTATATTAACCATGTGAATCAAACGTGTATACAGGACTCCATATATATGTATATACATGTAAATGTATATATAAACTTAGCAAAACATTATCCGTTTTATGTACATGTATATACATATATATCTATAAGTGTTTGATGCCGTATCAATAAGTAAGGGTTTCCCAATATATCAATAGTGTCTTATGATCGAAATCATACTTTAATGATTAATAAAAATATTAGGTATTTTCCACTGACATGGATAAATAACCCAAATCTTATCAGTCAACAAGCCCAAATACACAAATGTGTAAGCAGTTGATTTTTTCTTTAAATATTAAAATAATTTTAGTTGATACATAGTTAATTTATTTTACCTTGAGTGCGATGCCTTAAATGGCTTGAACAAATGGCCCCTTCTTTGAGAGGCATATAATTTAATCATTTGAATAGAGACAAACGGAACCACAAAAGAATGCTCAAAAGGGCAAAAGTAAAAATGTTGCAGGCGCGGTTTGAATGAGCCTTTTCATGGACGGTTGTGGTAATTACAAGTTACCGTCCACGTCCCCTAGCACTTGCTTTTTGAAAACTGAGAAATATTGAAATTAAAAACACCTGAAGATGTGTTCACATGGCGGTTATCATAGAATCTTAAATGTGGCACGTACTTGGCGGTATGTTCCTAAAGTAATTGTTAGTTTTCTTGTTGTTTTTACGGCATTTTTAAGTTTTAAAGTGGAAGTCTAAAATTGTATTTTTTATCTACTCAAGAGATTGTGCTAGTAACGTTTTAGAATAAAAGCAATGCTAGTGTGTTTATGTATTATTCAAAATAAACTTAAATTAGTGCGTGAAGATGTCGCGTCTGTGATAGGTCAGTAGATGTATGACGTAAATGAGAGAGGTTATGGTACGGTCATTTACCAGCCTAAAATTAAATAGGCTAAATATTTTGTAAGTCCGGTTTAACTCTATTTCTAGCTTGGGAAATCCAAATGATGATATTATGTACATAACACATAAGTCTTTGTCATTAAACGAGGATTCCTTATAAACAAAATGTAGGAAATAAAGTGTTTTGGGTTTTTTGTGGGTGGGTGTTTTTTGTATGGATTTTTTAATGTTTATTTTGTGTGTGTGTGTCACACTAGAGTTAAAATGTAAACATATAACATAAACTTGCGTGCATATGATTTATAATACTGCTGAGGTATCCCAAGGATATGTTACGTTTTGAATATATTAATTTAAAGTTACACGTTGCTATTGAACTGTTCAGATCCACTTATGTAAATAAAACAAGTAAAATAACGTCGGAAAACGGTCAGTTATTAAATGTTTAAAGTCCGCTTAAATGCTGTTTTTTTTGTTTGTTTGTTTTTTTGTTGTTTTTTTTTTTTTTTTTTTTTTTTTTTTTTTTTTTTTTTTTTTTTTTGTTGTTTTTTTTTTTTTTTTTTTTTTTTTTTTTTTTTTTTGTTGTTTTTTTGTTTTTTTTTTTTTTTTTGGGGGGGGGGGGGGGTTACACTGTTGTTGTTATAACTGTACTCTATCAACTTCCTAACACATATGCAAAGATAAATAGGTCACCTAAAAAAATTTTACTTCACATATCTGTTTCAACGAAAAAAAAAACGCATGTTTTGTTTCCTTAACGAGGAAGCGTAAGCGTGATTTTTAATTGTTAAATAATAAGCATAAACGATTATTTATAAAACACATTTAATAATAAATAAAGCTGGATAGCTCATAAAAAGATACAAAATTAACATAATATCACAGATATCTTTTTAGCTGAACACAAAAATATGACAAAGATAAGTTAATGAAGTTGTGTGATGCTCTGTTGCATGAACAAATACTGCTCTGTTACATGAACACATACTGCTCTGTTACATGAACACATATACTATATAATGAGGTAGTCAGAGATTCTGCCATTATTGTAATAAATAAACATTTTTGATCCGAATTTCTAATCAACAAAGTCGCTAAATTTTTGTTTAGCAATTAAATCGAAAAAGCTTTAAATATACATTTGAGCTGGTAAGAATTTTTGGCACATTTAAACTTTAATAATTGTTACATCATTATCAATAGGAGATATATACAAAAGTTCTGGGCTCGAGACCCAGGTGCACACTTCATTGCCAGCTGATAATTCAAAAGACTGAATAAAAACACTAGGTTTTCTCATTTCTGAGTCATTTTTTATCTGATGTTCAACAATGCTGACATATTGTCTTTTCAAAACTTTTTTTACTTTTTCTCCCGCTTCATTCACAGATTTAATAGCGAGCTGGTGCGTTAAAATTGTTTCATTCTCGCCTGGTGGAATTCGGAACGTAAATCGGGAAAATACTAGATATTTCCCGTCCTCCGGTATCAATAGACACGGTTCATTTTCACTCGGAACAATTTTGCTGTTTGCATCTGCCATCCATCTGACGGACTTTTTTTCTGTAATAGATAAGAAAAACTTCATATTAACATCTTGAAACATGTCATAAATAAACATATGACATGAAAAACCCCTGACGTTCCACCGTTAAGGCACATAGTGATGATACTTCAATACTACAATTGCCGGGCTGGCCAACTAAAATTACTAATCAGTCTTTCGGATGAGACTTTAAATCGAGGTCCCGTGTATGGGTGCTTAAACACTTGGCACGCTAAAGAACCAGGAGAAGCTTCTGGAATTGGGGCATCTTTCTGTATCTGTAATTGCACTATCCTCCGAAAAATAAAATGACTAATACTCTTCTGGAGGGCTCGCCCATATGGGCAACCGGTGGCGAGTATAAATAAACGCAAATACAAACAAACACTACAATTGAATACGGTAATGAAATATTCTCGCTATGATAAAAGTCCGGAATGATATTTTCCCCGTACAAGTAAATAGAACCAAATACTAGTAGACATATATGATCTGACTGTTTAATTTAAAAGAAAACTCTACAATATATCTACGTAGGATAACATCATTAAAATATTTCTTACCGGAAAGAAAAAGTTGATCTAGTTTAAAGCTACCGGAAACATCGTCCGTTTCTTCTTCATATACTGAAAATAAAAACAAAATGGTTAAATTGCATAGATGTGTATAAAGTCGCTATATTTTCATAAAGAAAAATTTCAGCATTTGAACAACAGCGTTTTACCGGTAGACTCTACTTTATTGGGTAAAGGGCACCAAATTTAGTTTTACTGCCAAAATTATATTTATTAAGTGTAATTACCTTGTTTAGATTCCATTATGACTGTAGGAACATGGTGAACTTGACTTTGGTTCGTCTGAAATAAAATAAACAAACAACAATAAACACTCAATTTTAGTTTCGGTTTCGGTTTATAAATAGAATACATCTGAATATTTCGGTTTCAGTCTATAAATAGCATACATACAATGTAGGTCATCAATGAGCAGTTGTCTTTCTTGACTAGTTTCACTTTCGTATAAATGTACCCATGACCTAGCAAAATATGATTTTTGTTTATAAATAGTATACTAAATCAATATCCCCAGGATTTTCCGGTGCAATAACGTGGTGGCTGAATTCCGATTATTCGAGGTGGGGTTTTAAAAAAGGAATCATCATTACCACTGATTCACCAATATTGTTTTTAACACCATTAAAAATTGCTACGCCAGTACATTAAATGTTTTCATTTTTTACCAATTATTATAACAAAACTTGATATATATTTATGCATGTGACTAGTGATTTATACAATAAATAGAAGAAAAAACAACATAAAAACATGCAATGTAAAATTATTTGACTACTCTATTTATATATATTTATATAAATGAAATATTGAGAAATACTGATGAAATAAAATGCTTATTTTCACTACATATTTTCCGTATTGTCACTGGTGTCTTGCCGGACTACTTTCTTGTAAATTCAGCTTATACAGAAATTTTAAGAATTCTTCAAATTGCAATGTAAAAATAAGAGAAATATCATATGTATATTATATAATAAACAGAAAAGTCAATTTTTATTCTTTAAATACAGGATTTAATTTCATATGAACAACATCATATTTCACTCCTCATATATTACCGCTGCTCGTGAATTATTTATTTTCATGCCACTTAATAAGACATTAAGTGTAACAGATATCGTCACTTTTTTCAATATTATCCCTAGAAAACAATGTTGGTGATATAAATCCACTGACCCTAGCATCATTAGTAAAAAAAATATCATTTTCAACCTTTCTCTATGGGGCTGAACTATGGCATAACATTTCAAATACTAACATTGTAAAGATCCAACGATTTGAACGATTGGCAGCGAAACAAATACAACATCTCCCACAGTCAACTAGAACGGACATGGCTCTAAGCACACTGGGATGGTTTACTATTGAAGCAGACATAGACCAGAGAAAGCTAACTTTCCTACAAAAACTGTGTACTATACCAACACACTATCTGTCAAGAAAACTATTTAATTACAGACTTAACTTATTTGTTATGAAAGGTTATTGTAATCAACGCGGCTTTGTTCCCGAAATATGCAGACTATTGTACAAATACGGATTATTCCATTTCATTTCTGACTACATGAAACATGCACATTTTCCATGCAACTACTCGTGGAAAAATACTATTAAAAAGGCAATTACACATACACAAAACAACACGTGGCAACAAAGAATTAACAGTGACAGAGATTTTGACAGATTTATAGCAGTTCATCAATCAGTAACGCCTTTACATTTATGGCTGTTTTCAAATACAAACAGTGAGATTAAACATGCTATAAGTGCAACAAAAATAGTTCTATATCGACAGTTTTATACAAGTTATTCCTGTACAAAATGTCTACAAGAAACTAGTGATATAAACAGACATATCTTAGCTGATTGTGATACATATACACGTGAACGGACACGCTATACACATTCAATTGATCAGAAATTTAGCTCTGAAGTTTGCAGCTATTTTCTTAGAATTAACTCGGAAGCATTCTTGCGAGGACTCTTTGATTCCAATTTATTGGCTGTCTTTGGTATTAATCCAGAACTCCAAAAAGGCTTCACCAACCTATGTTGTAAATACGTTCACGACCTAACGATGGAATATAAAAAGTAATCTCTAGAACATTCTAATAACATTCTCCATGAGAGGATGTTTATCTTAGACTTCTAAGGTTAAATGCAATATAATAAATCCATACTAAATGTTCCTATACATGACACTTATATTTCGTGTTTTCGATAAGTTATATATGTAATCGGGAAAATATTTAGTAAAAGTGCATAAAAAATATTCAGTAAATACCATTATGTCGAACATTGACAATATAATTATCATGTGCTTATTAATAAGGTAACATTGTATATGCAGGTTGTTATATTTCTACATTATGTAACACTATATTTAATGTATGACATTGTGTATGACATGCTTTTCGTGTATATAATCAGTAATCGTATGTTATTATGTTATGTTCTCATGTAAATGTGTTAATTAATTGTTATATCAGTCACTGAAAAGTGGAATAAAAGCTTATATATATAAGTAAAAAAATGAAAATTTTAAAGCAGCAAGCCTCCAGATCCATGCTTATTTTCATGAAAATTTTGAAGTATATTGTGAAGCGAACAAGGAAAATAATTTTCGCATTGCAAAAAGCAGTTACATCCCATGTTAATTACCAAAAAGAGGTCGAAATATCCTAAAATAGCCCTTAATGCGTTAGTAAAATAGAAATATGTTGAAAAATACTGCAAAATTGGTCTTAAAATGCACAAACATAGAAATTTATACTTTAATCTTGAATCTTTAAACTTTTCTTAAAGTCTCAATATTTTTTTCTCAAGTTTGATTTTTTTTTTTAAATATTTTGGTTCGTCTGGAGGAATGCAGCTTTAAAGGCAAACAAAATAATAAACGTTATAAAGTTTACCTTATAAAACAGATATAAAACAAGTCCAAGTGTCAGAATCGTCACTAAGAAAGTGAATGCTTGCAATAAGTAACAACAAGTGTTTCCTTTATCTCGTCTTTTCTCATTCTTTAAATCGCTTTCTGTGGAACTGATCGTTGATGTCGACTTAAAATCGTCCCCATTCATTACAACTTTGACGGTGTCATTGATAAGTCGACATTCACTGGGTTGTCTCGAATAATCTGGCACTTTTAATTTTCCCGGTTGTGTTGACAAGTCATTTTCTTTTATTTCGTTTACACTGTTCTGTCTTCCATATACATCCATTTCAAGTTTCATTGAACTGTTTTTATTTGTATTTAAACCCACAGTATAAGCTGAACAATGTGGACTCACTTTGTTCGGATAACTTTCTGATTTAAGCATGTTTCTGTCCGATTGTCTGCAGTTACAATAAAAATTTAAACAATAATTCTCAGTATTTTATACACGAGTTCAAAACGGAAAGTACCTATTCTATTTTTAAAACAGAAACTTTATTGGCTATATATAGATACACGCGTAATAATTTTTTTCTAACTTTCGGATGTTACAGGCCGAATATTATGTAGTCTATTGTTTATCATTGGTTCACAGTGTTTTTGTTAATGTAAAATTTCTTTCTCAATTTTAATTATTTTGCATTCGCATAACATATAATATAAATCTGTCTGTATGTTAACTTTACCATTTTATCATAGGTTTTATCGTAAAGACCGGTTAATCATTTAACGGATATACTCTAGGTAATAGAAAGAGCACTGAAACACGAGGTTATCTGATTTGTACGAGGGGGCGTAGCCCCCGAGTATTAATCAGATTACCGAGTGTTTTGGTGTTCTTTCTCTTTTGTATCATAGTCAAACATAAAAACACGTTCCCTGTTGTCACAATATGAAACCCCGGCAAAAATGAACCAATGAACGAACATCTGAATATGATATTTCTGTCGCTTTCCCTTTCTCTGCCGTCACAATATGTAAACCCCAGCAAAAATGGGCCAATCAATGGGCATGCTCTGGAGTGCGGGTAACTAATACCCGCACTCCAGTTAACGCACTGTGCATGTATATGTATACGATTTAACCCTGACACATTTTCAACAGAAAGGTCTCCAAACTATGATACAATACTATATAGGAGTTGTCGAAAAGTATGGTGCAAATACGAAAATCGTGACTTTTTAAAAAAGAAATAGGTCTTTGCCTTTTTTTTTAATTTACAAAGTCGTGTCTTAATAGGTGTTTATAAAATGTGTAAGTTGAAAATTCTTGTTTGTTTAGTCACTGATCAGGAAATAAAATCAATCAACATAATCAATTCATGATAGATACAATATCTGCATATATAGTATCATCATGAGTTTATCATTAAACAATAACCCCCAAATCAAATTCAATATTGATTGGTTTAAAACCTCGTAATGTTTACCATATTTGTCTATCTTTATTTTCCGGCCATTTCTTCTAAAATGATATGATTCATGGAATAAGATATTGGATCTTATTTTCCCCGAAAGACACATTCTGTAACTTGATTTGTTGTTATTGTTGTTTTCTCGGGCCCAGCAGTTTTCTTATCATTGTGCAAATGGAACTGTGTAAGAGCTATCTAGTCCTTCGGATATTTTCGGTCGTATGACATTTATTTTTCTTTGACTTCCGATTTTTTCGTTGGTCTCTCCTCTTCTTGCTTGATGTGTTATGATGACCTTTGAACTTTACAGGTGATTGGTTTGGTTAAGTATGTTTCGCTTCCTAGATTAAAACACATACATTCCTGTTTAAAAAAAAAGAAAAGTGAGGGCGATATACTTTCTAAAAAGTTAATTCGCTAGACATGGGTCAATCATAGGGACTTATCATATGTATTAAACACGTACTTCAAATTTGATAGGATAAGTTATTTCAGAATACATGTAAACACAGTCAGATTATTATTAAATGAGCCGCGTCACGACAAAACCAACATAATGGGTTTGCGACCAGCATGGATCCAGACCAGCCTGCCATCCGTGCAGTCTGATCAGGATACATGCTGTTCGCTTACAAACCCTATTACAAGTAGAGAAACTAATAGCGAACAACATGGATCCTGATGTTGGTTTTGTCGTGACGCGGCTCATTTGTATACTAGTACTAGTATAGTTTTTATAACTAGCTTAATTACTGCTAAACCGGTTTAATCCGGCAAACCAGATGAAAGAGATTAAACACAGGTAGGAAAGCGGCCATTGGTCAGCAGATTTCATCAAAGTCCTGTTAAAGCTTCGAATCAATGTAGGTATAATTTTATGATTCTTTACGTCATAGCCTGACCAGCCAGGAAGTGCTACTGGATTACATAACTGTCACTTCCGCACGTTCGTTTTCTTTTTGTCACAATACATACATGTATAACTGTCGCTTCAAGAGTTTGCTAATAAAACAAACAAACAAAAACAACAATAAATACAAGCAAAAACAAAAAGAAACCCCCAAAACATAATATAATTGGACATATATTGTTAACACAAAAAAGTTAACTTACAGTTACTTACGATTGGTTCAGAAAACTCTTTTAGACCAATTATGAATCTTTACATTGACGGGTTCAGAAAATGTTTTTAGACCAATTATGAATCATTTCATACGCGCTTTCAACATATTGTGTTAAATAAAGCAACAAAACAATACAAGGGTCAACAAGATGAAAAGATTTAAGTCTGTAAACCATCTTTGTGATTAAAATAAATCAAACTCATCTCAGTTCTTAGAATTGGTGTGTCAGTAAATATCATAATGACATTTTTAAGAAGATTCCGGGAACTGAAGATAAAAGGAGTTTTTTTCTCATATGTACTTTTATGTGCATGTACTTTTTAACTGGTCAAAGTACTCGTATACACTGCGTGCAAAATTGTTAGTTTGCTTCATTTTGTACATTACATGTTAAAAAAAATAACAAAAAACTTCTTTACAGTTTTAGAGCTCCGTTGCCCGCCGTGACTTACAAAATTACAATTTCAGGCTTACTTCTAGTTTGAACTGTCAAATTGTCAATGTATGGTATGGTTGAGAAGACACAATTTGCTTATAAATAGTAAACACCATCGTTTATTACATCATAAAAATTCCATTGATTAAATGAGCCGCGTCACGACAAAACCAACATAGCGGGTTTGCGACCACCATGGATCCAGACCAGCCTGCGCCTGCTCGCTATCAGTTAAACTACTTGTAATAGGATTTGTAAGCGAACAGCATGGATACTGGATCCATGCTGGTCGCAAAACCATTATGTTGGTTTGGTCATGACGCGGCTCAAATGATATTTTATACGATTTGTGCGAATGAAATAATCAACGGAAGCTCAAATTTACCTAGGAATTTTTATTTTTCCCACTCCCCAAGTAACATCAAATATTCATTTTGTCACATTATGACTTGTTCTTATCCGAAGACTGACGGAATTGGCCGAAAAGTTGCGACCGAACAGGAAAAATATAGATATTTTTAAGGTTTATTTTTTTTTTTTTTTTTTTTTTTGTATGTACATGTATGTATATATTGGTCAACCAATGGAATTCCTTTAAAGTGGTCTTTAAATACACTATTAATAAAAAAAAGAATGGGTAATTAACTAATTGTTTGTCAATTTATATACATGTTACATAAACATGTATGAAGAAAACCAGGAAGATGGTGATCCCTCGGAACATTAACCACAACAAAATTACATGCAAATCGCAGACTCGGTTTTGTTAAGTCTGTGCATGAGATGATTATGACAAAATGCAACATCTCTCACGCCCCCTAGCTAGCACCTGTTAGAGCAGTACTCAATATTCAACACTTAAAAGGGCTGGAATCGATTATCCCGACGGACCAGAAAAATATGACACACTTTGGGACTGGTAGCACGTTAAAGATGATATATGTTTTATTGAATTTTCAGAATTTTCTCACAATAATATAATCCACGACCCGAGCATTGGTTATCTATGGATCTAAATCTAGATCACCATTTCAGACGAAATAAAAAGATATCCTGTAAAAGTACTCTATAGCTAGTGACGTTTCTGGATGGTTTTTAAAATATATGTCTAAAACTAGTACAACCGGTCAAATGACAGAAAACACTTTAAAACTAGAGGTCGCACTTTTAAAAGAATTGTCTACTTAATTTGTCATAGAACAAATTTAATGAGAAGTCATTTTGCCAGCGACTATCAGAAGAAAAACGAAAGTTCAAAGGACATTGTATCTTTAAGCAGTGACACGTCATATTTTGTTTTTTTAGAATAACGCACAGTATTCCGACTACGCTTAATATCCAACGATATAAATTTTTACTAACCCTTGATGTGCCCACATTAGTACGGAAATTTAAACAATAAAAGAGAAACTGTGTTCAGATTAAACAAACTTTATTATATATATATAAAGCACAATGAAACTACAGAAAAATGACCAACCTTATTTAAAGTAGGTAATTTTGGTTTTGAAAACTATCTATTTATAACTACATACGTAAAAATTAAATCTGTCATACCCTAGTACAATAAATTTGTATAATTATGTTTGGTGCCCTTCGCATTTAAATGGCGAAGTGGTCTAGCAGAAGCAGTGAAACTATATGGCTCTCGATATAATGATTTTCAAGTTATCTCGTATTTGACAACAGAAAATTATCTGCACAACACTGTTTGAAATAGATAAAAAATTTCTTCCATATTGAATTAAATCTTAAAGCACGCTTTTTTTCTTGTTTCTTTGATTTTAAGTCGCACTAACTCTGCAAAGTGCATATGACAACTTTCAAATATTACTTGTGGAGGAAGTCCGTGCATTATTTCAGGCACGAGCAGGCACGTGAGAAGAACCACCGACGTTCCGTTAGCCAGCCGGACAGATTCATCACATTGAAGAATCAAAAGTCCCTCAAGGGATTTGAACCCTAAGCGGCAATGGACATGTGATTTAAAGTGAAAGACTTTAATCCTTCGGTCATGGGTGCCTCCAAGAGTATGCTAGTATCGGTACCAGTGACAGTATTCTATGCAAATACACGCCGAGACAATTAATGTTCTACCACCATTTTCAAGTCGGTCTGTGATGAATGGTAACTTGCTTGTAGACAGAATAAATCGTTAACCTACTGATTTTGTGTACTGGACATGTCCAGCTTCCATTTTGGAACAGTTTGGGTCAGTTATATGTACATGTATTATAAAACGTTTGGGTGATCAGGATGAAAATTTTAGATTATTCAGCCAAAAGTATAGAGCCTGGTCAGACTACAAGGCCTGGATCTATAAGGGTGGTAATGGACAGCAGGTTTAAGCCTAAACACTATAAACGTTATAAAGCATTTATAAAGGCAATCTAATCTTAGACAAGGATTTACACACTCAAATTACACGTTACGTGAGGTAGTCATCGTTTTATTAATACAATTCTAGATTTCTGGAATGTTGTCAAAAATACATTTTTTTTTCAAATACGCAAATTTCATGCAAAACATACAATTTTAGATTTTCGAATGGTAATCAAAAATACATTTTTTCGAATACGCAAATTTCATGCAAAACATACAATTTTAGATAATCAAAAATGCATTTTTTAAATACGCAAAATCGTGAAAAAAAATCCCCAAAAACACACATACAGACACATACACAAAACTAGGCTATACTCGAATAATATTAATATCATTGTCCATAGTGGATTGATACAGAAGATTTGTGTTTGATACATTTGCGCACACCTGGTCATGAGCATCCAAGTTAAAGAACTCAATAAATACACTTGGCTTTCTTAATTCTCTGTTTGCCTTTACCTCGTCGTTTGTTCGTAATTTATTCTCTAAAACACTAACATATTTGCGTTTGAAGCCGCCATCTTTCAGTTTACCATCGCTTGTCTTTAACTGAAAAATGTGTGTTATGGAAAGTGTTTCAACACTCGGAAGAATGTTGAAAGTAAAGCGGGAAAAGACAAGGTATTTCCCGGCGTATGGAATTTGAAGACAGTCGTTTACGGTGCTTGGAACAATTTCGCTGTCTTCATCTTTGAGCCATAATACTCGATGGAAATCTGAAATAATATAAATAAACATTAAAAGAGATCCCGGTATTTCCTTTAAATAATAACTAAAGGGCATATTATCCCTTCACAGACGGATATTTTTTTTACTTCATCATACAGGCCAAGCCAGAGTTTTTAAATGTAGAAAGTAGAGGTAGCTAAATGTTAACAAAGTGGTTATTTCACTTCTATTTAAAATATATTTAAAAAAGCTATTGAGAAATATAAATAAGAGAATTATTCGGGCATAATGACCTTTAAATCATTCAAATACATTTTTTAACAGTTAGAAACTTATTTCGGGCCACGAATTACATTTTTGTTATATGTGCTTTCTTTTTTTGTTAGTAGAAATCTGATTTAATGTCGTAAGAAAATATAAAAAATGTAAGAATTTAAACTTACCACGTAGATGTGTTTGATTTATCTTGAAACTTCCAGCAACATTAACATCTGGGGGAAAAAAACACAAAGAATTTTCAGATTTGCTTTGATAATAATAGTGTTACTGTAAAACAGTTTCAAATATCTTCTAGATAGGTGGCGTCATAAATTACAATTTAAATAAATATTTGTTTGGTTTTTTAATGAAATTTGGAGGCGATAAATAACACACAAGAAATTAAATGGCCCAGTGCCTATAAGGGATGAGACATCATAATTGCAGCCATCGTTTAGACAGTGTGATCGTAAGAGGCGACTAAATGGGTTCGAATTTCTGGAGTCTATGCATCTCTTAGCTCCAGCAGCTGAGGTGGTTTTGGCCCCTGATGTTGCTTTAAGTTTGTAACACGCGAGGTTAGTCAAAATCATCTTTACTGTTTCGGTGACATATATGACCTTAATTGTGTTGGTGTGCCGTCAAACAAAACAAAACAAAAACAATTTCCGGTGACGATCATATGCTTGGTAACATGCTTGGTAACGCAGTTGGGACAGGGGTAACCTTTTCATACATAAATATCATATACTGTGTTGTTTAGGTAACTTACTGTGATGAGACATAATTGCCATGCTGCTCTCAAGTGCCTGTTCCTCCTCTATAATATCATTTGGCATCTGAAATAGACAAAAAGTACGCCCTTACACATGTACTATATTTACATGAACGTTGTTTGGTCCGACATTCAGAAATATAACGCCGTTTTCCTTCGCCTACCAAGATAAAATAGGCAACGATATTTAAAAAAACCATCAAGTTAGTGATATATTTTATCTTCTTTTTTTCCAAATATTTACTAGTATACGTAAAGTATGTCCGAATTCATCCGAGCTTTTGCCTGGTAGTGATTGGTCAATTATTGATCACTTTGTTTAATCAATAAGAAGTACATTTGTAGTACAATAGCACAAAAATATTAAGTGTTTCTTTTAAAACAGAAAGAAGATCATGTATATATCAAAATATCTAACTGTGACAGTCACGAGTTAGGTACACTGTTAACAAATCAATACTCGGCTAAAGAACAAATATAATATAATGTAAAAAAGTCGTAATTCTTATCGATAACAATCTTGCTGTTTAAGAATGAGAGAACTGTCTCAAATCAAGGTAGGGTCAACAATTGAAACACCGAAACTGAAACTGAAGTGTCTTTCCTAGAAGTCCATGAAAAAGGAAGTAAATTAGTAAACTGAATAAATAATATGTTGCAACCCGGTTTGATAGAGCCTTTTCATGGACGATTTTAACCGCAAGGCACCGTCAACCCAACTCCCCCTCCCCGAGTACCGTTAATTACTCAAGATATAAAGTCAACTCCCAGTTTTGAAATAAACTCCCGTAGACATGATATGAAATACAATGCATTGAGCTATACGCATCTAGTAAATTTAACTTAAGTAGACTGCATTCAAATGTTTTATCAGTCGCGACATTAAAATTTTTATCTGGAGACTTTCTGAAAACGGACAGTGTGTCAATGAGTGTTAGGAACGAAACTTTTAAGATACTTAACGAGGCGGCAATTAAATTATAATGCTGGGTCAATGACTAAAGTTCAGATCTACATTAGTTCCTTATGGGTAGCGTTAATTAGGAGCTGATTTTATTCAGATTGAATGCTGGGTCAGACTGACGGGAAAGATTTGCAGGTTTAGATTAATTAAATCAGCTAAGTAATAAAATAAAAAATACCTTCAAGAATACGAAAAGTAGCAGTCCAAGAGAACACAAAAACATCACTACACAGAGTATAGTCATTCTGTATAGGCATATTCTATGTCGGCTGTTCTGTCTTTCATATCCAGCTGGCTTCTCGGGGTACTCCTCATCCGTTACATCAGTCCCCTTACCAATAAAAACGGAATCTGTCATTTCGGTCTCCATTGTCAAATTTACTTCTTTGTTTAAAAGTTTTTGCGACGCTGAAGTCCCAAGATCTATTTCACTAACATGGTATGTTGATCCTACAAGACTGTCTTTAACTTTGTCTTCCGTTGCTTCTTCAGTAAATATGTCTACGATGTTTGATTTGAAATCCAGTTGATCTATGTTTTTTCTGTCTTTCAAAGTATTATAATCCTTTGAGTTATTTATACTGTTTTGTCTTTCGTAGGAATATTTTGTTTTATACAGATCGAATTTTGTGTTTGCATCAACCGAAATAGATCTCAGTGGACACTGCTTCACAGTTCCTTTGTTTTCATTCATCGTTTCACGATTTGTACTGTCCATTCCAACGTCACTTACATCCATGACTTTGGTTTCAAGCTGACTTATTAGCGAATTAAATGAATAGTTTATTACACTATTGTAACTGTTTCTATACCGGAATTTAAGAAATGAAATGTTTGCGGTTCACTGTGTTGCCTGCGAAATACGATTGGTCTCAAGCAGACGACACTCTATATGCAATGTGCGCTGGCGCTATTTTTAGATATGGGAAAATCCAGCTTTCCGATAATTCAATGATTTTTAGGCGAGACCTAGTTAATCTAGCGTTAAGTAAATTTACCTGTAAAAATTTAGGTTACAAATATTATATTACATTACACTTAATCTGATAATTTAAAAATACCGAGAAACAATCCATTTAATCATCTAACGATACATATGCTTGTCATCTCCATCTATCGTCTGCTCTTCGAATAATCTTTTAACATAACATATATTTTAACAGTACTAGTAAAGTTTTATTTCGTAAAGAAATATACGTAAAGACTGAATAAAAATATTGCATAAAGCTGTGCATGGAGGTAATCATACAAACGGAGGACAATGTACGTATTTAACGTATTGATCCTCGTGACTTGCCTCGTGTGCTTCTGCAGATATTAAAAGGTGCATAAATCCTCTACAATTATGTAATCTACTACAATGTACTTATAAACAAGTTCCAAAAAAATGTACATGTTTCATAACCAAAAGGGTCAAAACGTATCTTTAGCAAAATGTTTAAAGCTTCGTTATAGATTGTATAAGGAACGGTCAATCTATATAAAAGTGATGTTTTGTGTATGAAATGCCTAAAAATATTAGATATCGGATATCAAAGATTCATGTGATATTTGCCTTATATCAATGTTAAGGACAGGGTAACTAATACGGGAATTTTCCATTCCAGAAAGGGACCACTGATTCTTTTACGTTTAAGGGATAAAACTATTCCACAGGACCTCAGTGTTTAAAAGTCTTATCTGAAAGACTGTTAAAATCTAAAAGTTTTGATAGCGTGAGATCGAATTTTCTATCAAGCCAATCTTCTGGCGTAAACATGCCACGGAATATGATCATATCAATTACCTAATGCTTTAAAAGGGTAATTTTCAAAAACATATTGAATATAAGATAGTATACGAAATATGCTCCTAAATGATCTACAGTTTTAGAGTACGTAATGCGTTTCTCTATTTAAAGTCATTAATACTTTCATCGGGACATAATTTGTTGTACCAAGGTACAGCTTTTAAAGTTGACAATGATTTGTATATATCAATTTGTTTTCTTATATCGACCATGTTTCAACTCAACTGTGGCGAAATATGCAAGATAATTCAAATCACTCTCGAGTACCTTTGATGGTTTAACAATAAGGAAACACATTTACATGATGGCCATTATAAGGCTCGAGCAAAAAATCCCAGGGTTGCTATGTTAACAAAAAATGATGTAAAACTTTGGAATTACCCAAAATCTAGTTTTTTCATGTTAACATGTGGCCTTTCACCAAATTTTGGTGAAAAATTGTTGTTTTGTGTCATTTTTTATTTTTTAATTAACAAAAAATGATGAAAAACCTTAGAATTATCCAAAATCTAGTTTTTCAATGTTAACACGTGGTCTTTCACCAAATTTTGGTGAAAAATTGCTGTTTTGTGTATTTTTTATTTTTCAATTGAAGGATAGGCATGTAATCGATCACTAGGGTATACCGCTTCCCTTCAATATCTATGATAATCAAACTGAGTTGTCTTAAGATCATCACACCCGGAGCAGCAACAGATAAATAAATATACACATGCGACCAGTGCAGACCAAGATCAGCCGGCACTTCCGGGTTGGCCGACGATGGTCTCTGCTGATCGCTACCAGGCTACCGTCTACCGGTGTAACATCAGTACAATTCATATTGTTAGATTTTCTGAACTGCCCAGATTAAAAAAAAAGAACATGTCCATTTAAGACTTTTATTGTGGTAATGGTTAAGATTAGTGAATTGAGTGTTTATGTGTGTTTTAGTTGTTGTTGCTTTTTCTGTTGTTGTTGATTTTTTGTTGTTGATGGGTTTTTTTGTTGTTGTTGTTTTTTGTTTTTTTTTTGTTTTTGCTTTTATTGGGTATGGGTATTACAAAGTTTACCGATTATCCTAATTAAATGTATAATCATCTTTAAGAAATGGATCAAGCAATATAAAGTCATGTCATTATTATTCATTATTCATGTAAAGTACAATGTATACGACGATTTTAATATTTTACAGGTGGTACACATCACTAGATACAGGTAATTATACAATTCATAGCTTCACAAAAAGCTTAAAATAGATTTAGTTTTATTTTCGGTTTACGTTATTCGCGCTAGTATAATGATGCGTTTAACGTTCCGACTTGTCACAAGTATACACACATGACTGTACATGTATTCCTTAGTGATTTTGTATTTTACCGTGACAAAGTATGAGCGTAAAGAAATCAAATTTTATTACAGTATACATGTCATTGCACTGATGATATGTATCATATAGCTGTAAAAAACCAATTTATACTTTGTGGGATGATGGAATTATTGTTTATAAATAGATGTTTAAGTTAAGCTGTGGGTGACATTTTTAAGACCCATGACAATATGGTTGTGGGCAGAAAGTCTTATGAGATTTTAAAATTTCTTTGACTCGATTATATTTATACATACACAACTGTTCGCTGTCAAATAACATAAATACAAATTAACATTGCTTATCGGTGGAAAACATATTAAACTAAAATCACCGAGTATATCTAGAAATGCAGTGAAATGCAGTAATGTACAAATAACGCAAAAGGAACGCTGAATCTGCACAATGCTATGGCCAAAAAACGAGTAATGGTAATACGTACCAAAATATACGGCTGCTATGACACTGTTCTTTAACAGCATTAAATATTTTCCCTGGAATATGTAAAACTTACTTTTTCGTGAGTATCACGACCTGTCTATCATTTTGAAGGCGACTTGTGGTTCGTCGAAATTAATAACTAAGTACATTAACGCATTTAAAACTTTATTTTCTTCATACTCGGTATACCTTAGACATTTGCCAACTTATGGTCTGATTTTATTGACCTGTCAATTATGAATACATTATAGTACTCATTTAAATATTCGATCCCACTTCGGTTTTGTCCGTTTTTACGAGAATTAATATGGAGAATATCTCTAACGTTTGGAAAACTCCCACTAGCTTAATGTAGGTTTTCGTAACATCCGCAATAGCACAGTCCGTTAAGTGATTACCAAATGCATGAGAGGTCCAACTTTCGATCCTTTCTTTTGACATTCTTTTAGACTTATTCTTTATTTTTCTGCATATTTTAATGAAAATGGTCAAGCGCTTTCAAAATTGTCTACACGGATATGAAACAACTAAAACACTGAATTGTCACGTTTTGTATTGTATTTTACGGCACTGAAATGACATTTATTGGTTTTAATCCGAATTAAATTCAATTTTATTAATTATTAAACAATGCTATATACAAAAGTGTAGTATTTACAAAAAGTGCAAAACATATTAAAAACAGAAAAAACAACCATAACTTCAAAAATGTTGAAAATAGTTATGAATAAAAAAAATGGAAACACTCTGTCTAGATTTTACAACACGTAAGATATTTAGAAATTATACACCCGTACTTTACCGTATTGAGCTATAACAGTTCACATCTTACGGACTTGACCGAACATTTATCGAAATATTAATATATTCTGTGCATTGACCGTATAAGGAATTGACAGGTTATTAAAATCAAACAATTCTAGTGTCGTGTAACACGTAAAGTAAGATTCAGAGATAAGACTTTTAATTAGGTTAACACACATTTCCGAAAAGTCTCAGTCACATTTTATTTATTAATTTAAGTGTTATATGACATGAGTAGTTTGGCAAATGTCTCAGATACACCAAACATCTAAAGACAATAAAATAATGTATTCGCTACTGTATCTCAGATATCGACGAAACACGAAAGACGTCATTTTCACGAATAATCTTGAAAAATAAACAGTAATGAAAATATTTTGATGAGGTTTACAATATAATATCTCAGTAACTTATGCGCTTATTCGTTTCTTTCAATTTGATATACAATAAAAATACATTTACTTTCCATGGTACTCTTTTCGGCCTACCTATGCACAATTCCGACGTTATTTGCACACTCCTGCATGCGTTCCTGCATGCACACGGGGACAATTATTTCTCATTTAAGAGGGGAAAAAAAGATAACTACTTAATGCCTTTTTTAGCCTATATACTGAGTTAAAATAAAATCTATTCTCATTCATACGTAACACATGGAGCGGTGGTCGTGTGTTCGTAACCCACGTTCTAAATGCGTTTACGTCTTTGCGTTGCGAATATGAAGCCCTCGTAACATGGTAGCTCGGACACGGTCCTTGCTCAAAGGCTATGTATAGAAACCTAACTGTTTTCTGTAAAAAAAGAAAATAAAGAAAAGATAAGTTATTATTATTATTATTATTATTATTATTATTATTATTATTATTATTATTATTATTTTTATTATCATCTTCATCATCATCTCATCATCGTCATTATTATTACTATTATAATTATAACATGCACATTTGTCAGCTGTCACTATATAAAGGTATTTCGAGCAAAGTTCTTAGCGCCATTGACCTTAACCAAACCCCCCCCCCCCACCCCAAAAAGAAAGGAAAAACAGAGGTCAATCCAAGGCTGCACGAGTTAATGTTTTAAACGTATTTTTATCAATCTCCTAACCTTGACCGAAGTACCTTCTTCCACACACAACGACAAAAGGCCACCGAAGATATGTCATGACATGTCAGTGAATAATGTCAGTATAAGCAAAAGTATACTATAATCTATTTTTAATAACGGTTACCTTGACCTCCATCAAAGGTTAAAAGACCACTCCAGGTATCTACCAAAAATAAGAAACATCAGTCAATGAACATAACCTGTTCAATGAAAAGTGACCTTGATCGACCTTGACCCAAGTAACCCCTTACTATACCTAAAGTCAGAAGACCCTGAAGGGTGTGTCCGTACCAAAATTAAATGCCAAGACACAAGTCAATTTTAAGCAACATGAAAGGGAAATAATTACAAATATTCCAGGTAGAATTATGGCTTTTGTA